ATCCGCTGGTGAAAAGGACAATACTTCTCCGCTTCAGCCTCCCCTCTTGGCGCGTTTCCGTTCTCCATGTTTGACTTGAAGACTCTCCTGTTTACTTCCAGCTCCATTTTAGGTGTCTGGGTTAGGCGTGGTTTATTCTCTTGAATTCTCTTTTTCTGGTTGTTTGGTTGCGTGCTCGCCAAAACATTGGGGTGGTTTTTTAACCGGGCTTGTTCTTGAACCATGGGGGCGAAATCCTTGAAGCCGGGATACGCATCCCCATATCTTTCCGTGTAGTGTACCACACGTTTCTCCCACTTAGATCGAATGGACAGGGGCAAACTTTCCACTATGGGGGCAATCGCGGTGGGGTAGTTCAGGCATCCGAGCCCTGGAAGGAAGTCCAGTTGACTATCCACGTCGGCACAAACATCTGCGAATGACTGTAGTTTGTCGCTGTCTCCTTCTCCGAATCTGGCTGTTTTCTGAAGTCTATCTAAGAGAACGTTAGTGATGGCAGCGGCGTTGCCAAATCGTCTCTCTAACTCTGTCCACACGTCTTGCAAGGCGATCCCAGGATCTCTGTATTGTCTGTGGCGGTAATTATCTACCACCTTCTGTGGGTCCTCTTTCGTATAGCTTCTGAGGTAGTTTATCTCCATTTCCGGGGACACGTCTGCGTCCTTGATCATGGCCTTGAATGCGCTTCTCCAGGGGTGGAAAAGTGTTACGTCTCCCGCGAATACCTCTGGGTGACACTTTGGAAGATTTTGTCGCGCAAGATTTGCCGCCAATATTTGATTGATGCTCGCTAATTCCTCGATAGGAGTAGGTGCGAAGGGATTCGTTCTTTGAAAACCAGAGAGAAGCGCGTTCTCATGTCCACTTTTAGGTGTGTTGTACATGTGGGTGATTTCCCTTTTTTCTGGTTGGTGTTTCGAACTTCCTGTCACGCAATCCCTTGGTTCCTGAGCCCTTTGCGTGTTTACCCAAGCTTCCGTCTGTTGTATAGTGTCAACGGGTTTGTAGAGATCTGGAATAGTGATCGTAATGTCTTGCTCTTCTTTTTCTTCTTCCTCTATAGCCTGCTCGATAGCCTTCAACTTCGCTTCGGCAATCGCAGCTTTCTTCTTCGCAGTAAGGACAGCCTTGTCACATTCGAATTTAGCCCTTCGAAACTGACGTTTTCTCTCTTCTTCCGCCTCCTTTCCCACTCTCTCGAACTCCTTTTCAGCCAGCAGTCTGTCAAATTCTGCTTCTCTTTTCGCTGCTGCTGCTTCTGCCAAAGCCTTTCTCCGTGCAACGCTAGAACTGGTAGAGGAGGATGATCAGCCAGATGACAATTTGCATGAGCAAGAACATTTTTCAGACACGTGCAAAATGGAATCGGATCCTGTGTTTAACAAGGGCTTCTCGAGTTCAGACAAATAGCTCTCCCGTGATGAGTATTTGACGTTTTCTGCCATGTCGAAGATGTCGATGTTATGTGCAGATCTACAATTCTACAGACTCCAAATTTTGGGGGCAGTGAGCCGTGAGGTGTTACACAACGGCACTCCAATAAAGTGTATCGATTATAACTTTTCACTGTCGCGTTTCCAGATCAATACTTCCCGCAAGGACTTGGTCCGGGAACGCGACAGGTAGAGCGCTGCACTAGTAGCGCAGAGGTCGGTGGTTCGAGTCCCGTACAGGCCTGATTTTTTTCAGGTCTGATTTTCGCTATTGCTTAAATAGCGCTATCTACTGCGAGGATCGTGCATCATACGTATCTAATACCGCAGTTCAAAATATATGATCTTCATATATTCATTGTATCTTATCCCACTTAAATGTAGATCAATCACTTTAATGAAATCAATCGTTTCTCATGCAAAGGTAATGATAAATTGCTAATCATGACTGGAAAAAATTGGGGTCCCTGTGCTCATTAGTGAGCTGTAGCCTTTTATCCACCTAGATCTCAATATCAAGGCAAATCTACTATATTTTCAATGTGTACATGCACGAGCATGTGCGAATGATGCTATGGACTATCCGCAGTAAGGGATGCACAAAATGTGAGGAATCACTGTAAGCTTATTTAATAAGGCATTCTTGGGACAACTTGATTTAATGAAGTAAGTGGGGAGTGTAAAAAAAGAGAGTTTCTTTTTTATAGGGTTGTACATTTTATTTTCCATGTTGCCAGGTCTCAATCTTTGTTAGAAAGAAAGTTGGTGAAATTACAGACTAACTGGCATTTAAAAGAAGGGGTGCTAAATTATTTTAAAAAATTATGGTCATGAATAGAAGAGTTGGAATGTACCAGTATATATTGATGCACATTGTGACTAAATATTATTTTTGTTTCATAGAAGATGACCTTGAAGCTGCACTTGCGAAATGTGAAGAGGTTCTTTCCACATTTCAAATTGCATCTTCCAAAGATTGGGAAACACGGATGTCTAGTTTGACCTCTAGTTGGGACAACATCAGGAAGCAGCTAATAGAAACAGTCCGTAGCTGCGAGAGTCTCCCCTCTCCAGACTTTTGCAGACTTTTACATTTGTTTGGAAGGCAAAGTCTGTATACGATGTATGGAGTGCCGAAAACAGTTTATGTGCCATTCATGTGATGAAAAGGTTCACAAGTCTTTGCCTTTTCATGACAGAGATGCATATGTAAATGGGTACTTTCATGCTAATCCCCCAACTGTTGGAGTTGATGGAAAAGGTTATCACCAAATAATAGGTAATCTCACAATATACAGTGTCCATTTTTTTTAATTATTATTTTCACTTCATATGCTTAATTATACATTTTTTTAAACCACCATATTCAAATTGAACTTAGCATAAGCAAGTAAAGGTGGATGGAGACTCATCCAACATGTATTCTTACGCTGGGACATCAGAAAGCTCCTTTATTCATGCACTTGAGGATGTATCAGTTATGAAAGGAAGGGTATGCTTTTCTTTAGTTGAATTAATTTTATTTAATTTTCCACTTATGTTTCTGCATTTTTGTACAGTAGTCTATTGAATGGTCAAAATTGTATTCTGACACATTCTTTCCTAACACGTATCTTTGAATTGTAATATTTTAGAGACAATGTAGCAAATGTATGGGGTTACGTGACTTGCTCTTGGCTCTGACATAATAATCTGACTGTCTATAGATTTTTCACATATTTTTAAGTTTGGTGCTAGAACATTTCAATATAATTTTCAGGTTTTATACCTTGTTTGTTTGTTTTTTTTTTTTTTGAGATTTTTGTGTACATGATGTGGTGGAAATCTTACTTTTGTTCTGTCTGACCTACCTACATTGATATTTCTATTTTATTTTTTCAGGCACCAACCATCAATCACAGCACATTTAGTAGATCTTTTAAAGAGTGGAAATTCTGTCAGTTTGAATTAGGTCATCTGCAAGGTCACAACTGGATTATTTGCCCTACATGTTCCATCTTTCAGCACTCCTGCCATGTTGATGGAAATATGAAACTGTATTGTTACAGTTCATCTGAAGGGTAGGTTTTATTCTAGAGGAAAGGTCTACACAGAACAATGTCAAAAACACCCAACATTTTATCAATGCTCATAAAACTAGTACAACAGAATGAAGGGTGTAAATTTTGTAAATTTTACTTTTATTAGTGGCCTGAATAGAAGTGGCTGTTGGTTATTGCATTACTTATATTTTAATTTGGTGTGTTTTATTGAGTTTATTTATATTAAAGATATATAAAGTTGAGGTTTAATCATTAGGTTCTGCTCAATAGTAACTGTTATCATCCATTGTTTTTAATAATATGCAGTTGTATCATGAAAAAAATGATACATTTTAGCCAGTTATAATTGTTTTCTTCCACAGACAAAGGAGGCAATCATATTATGAAGATCGTTTTATTGCCAACAAAGGGGATGTTGATGGTCACATGAACAAAGTATATGCAAAGCAGTCCAAATCTAAGGTGTGTATGCAGTTTTATTCCGATCATTTTATACTAAGTTTATAGCCTCTTAGCAAGCTGTTACAAGTTTCTATATTGGTAGGATAGCATGAAATTTTGACTTTTCTGTTACAGTATTAATAGTTATTAAATGCTGCAACTAGGAACAAGACAATATGTGTGGGGAATCACATTGGTGGGCTGCTTCTAATAAGGGTAGAGAGACAGCCAAACTAGATGAGACAGGACTTGAGATCACAGGCTGCCAGCATGGTTTGGCACAATGGGCAGTGAACATGTACCAGGGGGAGCTGTATGGCTATGCCCACTATATTCAGGTCAAGAAAATGATACCAGCCGGAGTTGCATTTTTTTGGGAAGATATTGTATGCAAGTATTAGAAGTGGGCTAAAAAGGCTGGTGGCATCGAAGGTTCCAGAATGAGACCAGCGCTCTCCATAATGCACACAAAGGCACACAATTGGACATGCCAGGTACTGGTTTATTTTGGTTGTTAACTAGTGTTGAATTGAATGTTGCCTTTGTTACAACTGAAATTTGTTGATGCTGCTCTTCATTGTGATATATCATGTATTATTTCTCTGAACAAAATGGTCATAATTCCAACAGGGCATTTTTACCAGGTGATATTGGAGGGGGGGGGTCGTTTGCAAGAAGGAAGTGCTAGTTCAACTGGCAAAGAAGTGGAGCAGATTAGTTCATACATGACTCGTTGTGGAAATACTATCAAGTACATACTTCCTTAGAGTGAGTCAAAGTAATTGTGTCATATAGTTAGCTTAGGTCTTATTAAAGGCAATAGCCAATGATATACAGCCAAACTCTCTATAATCAGTATATGGAATATAAAACAGGGGCAAATGGTGTTAGTAATACACTCATTGAGGTTTCACATGAATATGTTGCCCAGTTTAGGTCATTTGAGGTGCTCTAGAATTGTTCCTTTGTCAATCTTAGATTCATATTACATGACTCTCCGTGAAGCAGCAATTCTTTAGAGTAGCAGCACCTAATCATGAAGTTAAATGGGTCAACAAATACACTGAACTTCCTTCTATTTGATTGTTTAGTTTGGTGTAAAACATTTTATAGTGTGTTTCCCATCCAGGGGTACAGTATGAACAATGGAGGTCTATCAGCATTCAACTTAAGGCAATTAGAAAACAACGAGAACTGACAAATTAGAATCAATCAAATTCACAGAGTTGTAACTAGACCTTAATTAGTCAGTTACTTCATTTTAGTTAATTGAAATTATAGACATTTAACTGAAAGGTAAGTTATTCATATCTTTTAGATCGTGAGGAGCTCATTACTGAGCATGCTATTGCTTGGAATGAAAGAAAAATCAATGGCATGGCACAGAGCCTGTCAAGACGACACACATGGGTCAGTGTTTATGCAATATTACTATTGCTAAATAGCTATTAAACACAAAATTATGTTACCATTTGTACTCGCATTTACACATGGAAGTACAATTTTTAGTGGATCTTGTATTGAGTATAACAGGTTTAACAATCTTAATTTCATGTTACAAAAAGAAAGAGTAGACTCGGTGCTTTAAATACATATTGATCACATTTATTATTACATATCATTTTGATTGTTTTTAAATTATTATTTTTATTATTTTTAATCACCATTTACTCCAGTGCTATGCTACCTAGATGACATAGCCTCACTCTGGCCAAACCTTTGTTTATACTTTTTTTTTTTTATTTCCTTGATTCATGTAGGCCGTAAAAATGAAAGCAGAATCGCAAAAAGATTTTGATGACGTTTTAGACAGGAATTATGTATCACTGGATGACTTTAAGCCAGATGAGTGGAAGAGTATTGTTGTTAATCATGCACATGGTAACTTTGTATACTTTTGGTGGTTTATCTCTGAATTTCCTTCTGCTGTCCTATTGATATGGCATTACCTGATAGAATTACTTTGTATTTCTCCTCTAGAGGTGGAAGCCTTGCAAGGCAAGGGCACTGGTATACTGCAGATTCAAGATGAGGTTGAAATGTTGGTTTCTGCCATTCAACAGACCACTCATTCAATAAGCAGAATAGCAGGTAGTTCTGCTACATCTTGATTTGTTTACCTTTTTATTCCTTTTTTTTTTTTGGAAGGACTATTGAAGAACCGAAGAAAATCACCTTCACTCATCTTAAATTCACTGTCTTCTTCTTAAAATCTTTGTTTAAAGCATTTTGAAGCTGCTGATTTTCTTCCTGTTATTCCTGTTTTCGCTTTATCTTATTTAGACTTGTCCAAACAGCGTGCACACCTCTGCAAAAAGATTTCTTCAAACAAGAATAAGCTGTCTTCCCTAATAGATAAGTACAATCAAGAGGAAGAAGGCATTGAAGCTTTGCAAGCTACTGTCTCTGAAGTTATGAAGGGGAATTTCCCATGGGGAAACACAACAGGTAAACTTTGTGAATTTTAGTACTCAGTTCAACTTGTCTCTTTTGTTGAGTATTTCTGCTTGTAGCTGTCATTTTTGTTCTAAGTATATTTTCATCCTATCATCGATAAAGTACTTTCTTGTACATTGTACAACTTACTAATTTTATATATGATAAGACACACTTGTGATAGGGGGTAGCTTAGTAGCTACGGTCATTGTGTTGATGTCTTAAGAAAGACACTATGCACCAGCACTGCCCCTCTCAAGCAAACTGTACCAGCAAACTGTTCACAACTTCTAATAGATCAGGCCCCTTCCAAGGTGTTGCGTTTTTTCCTACTTCTGTCTAACCTCAGTACGCAGGACATTAAAATCAAGAACAACAACAACAACAACAACAACAGCAACAACAACAAGCCGCTTGTGTTCTTTGCTTTTAAAACGTTATTTTGCAAATAGCAAATGCTAATCTAGGCGGGCCAGTGATTGCTTATGCATAAAACTAGATCAATTAAAT